GGAGTTCGCCACCGGCGCGAATTCCGCCTACGCGGAAGGGGGATTCAAGTTTTGTCCTATGCGCGGACGAAGGCGTTCGCCTGTGCACAGGCGAAGTAGGGTTAGGGAAGGCGCGAAGTCCGCCTACGCACAGGCGTTCGCCTGTGCACAGGCACTTCGGCGTCGGCGGAAAATCCGCCTTGGGCCCTAGAAATGCGCCTCGTGAGGTAGAAAGTGTACGGCGCCTTCCGCGCCAGCGCGGCGCCGCGTACGTCGGAAGAGCCGCCAGGGTAATCCCATCGGTACGGACCATGCGGACGGCACGGGTGGATACGCTCTTGGACGGACGGAGTTGCGGCGGCGGGAGCGCCGACGGAGAGACAAGGAACGGACAGACTGGACGGAGACGGCTGACCACGGTCAACGCCTTCCGCGCCAGCGCAGCGCCGCGGACGGAATTCGCCTGCGCACAGGCGAACGCCTGTGCACAGGAGGATGTTCAAGTTCCGCACCGGCGGAGGATCCGCCGAGGCTCCTGCCTGCGCACAGGCAGGAGTTGAATTTTTGTCCGACATGCGGACACACGCGTCAAGGCAGCGGGAGATTGGCCGAGGGGCGGTACGAACAAGTGTACCGCGCAAGGCGGAAAACTCGCCTTCGGCGCTACGCCCCCAAGTCCGCAGGGCGACACGCTCGCGGAGTTCAAATCCGCCAATTCGAGCGTGAGAGTTTAATCGACGACGGCGGAGCGTGAAGCCGCGCGTGAGAGCGAAGACCGTTCCAGCGTACAGCCGGCGCGGCCATCAAGTGAGACGTTCTTCACGACCAAGAGCCGACCATGACCTTCGACCGAGCGGCGGAGAGCGTCCCATTCTTGAATTCGCGATTCCACTCTCTTGTGCGCGCTGCGCGCATTCATCTGCTGGCTGCGGAACATTCTCGACGTCGTCGCACAGGAGATTTCTTGTTGATTGAGGGAGAAGTGAGTGCGCGTGATTTGGAATTGAGAGCGATTAGAGTTTGCCGAGAGAGAAAGAAGCGCGGGCAGTGCGGAAGTAGAATGAGCGGGCGAGCGAACCCCAGGAACGCAATGACGAGACCGAGCAGATTGCGGATGGTGCCACTTCGCCTGCCGCAGAACGGGCTGCGCGCTTTCGAGGAGCGCTTAATAGCAAGAAAGCTCGATTTCTTGCTATGGGGATGGAATTACATCTGTGCGAATATGGTGCGCGAGTGGCTAGAGCCACAGGGACCACCCTCGCGCGGATTGCGTCCGCATGTTGACCGGTGGACAGTCCAAGATTGGGCGCAGGCATTGGGAAGATGTGCTGGCATGCCAGGGCATCTCCTTTTCGACAGTGAGAGCATCAAGGTGACCAAACAAGAAGAGGCGCAATTTGTGGAGCTGTTCAAGACCGGGAGGTCTACCAAGAATGGGTACAGGACCCGTGATTACAAGGATCGATTTCGCCGGACTTTGTCCGCGGCGCTGATGCAATTACTGCAGCCGCACCGCGCCTGCTACATCACATTGTGGCAAGTCTCTTTTGTGGAGTGCGTCATCGAGGGAACTCCAATTCACTGGGCGAGCATCCTGCACAGGGTGATGCGACAGCACGCGTTTGAGGAGAAGGGGGGAACTCTAAACCATCTTTCTCCTTTCCTCATCAATTTTTATCGACAGCGGAATTGTTTGACAGCGGCGGAGCTTGAACATTTTCCGCCATTGTCCATCGACCATCCCGGGAAGTATGTGCGGGAGAACGAGGTCGACACTGATGCAGAGGAGTCACCGACTTCTACCCCATCAAGACGGAGAGACGAAGGGAGACACACTCCTGCAGCGCGAGTGCCGCGGAAGCGGCGATGGAGGGAAGAGTCTGAAGAGGAGCAGCATCAAGAACCCTCTGCTCCCATTCGACCGCGGCCGCTGTGCGAGCCATACAGCCGGCCGAAGCAGAAGGCACGCAGACTGGTGTTACCAGCTGACAGTGCGGACACGGCGACGATTGCGACGGAGATAGGAAGTGCGTCGCCAGAGAGGCGAGAGGAAGCGCGGACGACCGCAGGAGCGACGGGCCACGCTGCAACCTCGTCGGGAGAGAGGCCGCCTACGGGCCAGGAGCCTCCGGAGTTACCACGTGCGATGCGGACAGATGTTCCGTTTGCGCACAGGCGAACCTCCGCGGACGGACGAGCCTCCGCGGACCGGCGAACACAAGTGGACGTGGATCTACGCTTACGCGTGGGAAGGAGCAGTCCACCTGTGCACAGGACACCTCCGCACGTGCCGCCTGTGCACAGGCAAGACTCACCCCCGTTCCAACGTAGGAAGGGGAAGGAGCCGGCGGAAGAACCGCCTACGAGACACCGGCCCTCGGGGCCAGACCCTCCGGCGCACCACGCGCCGCAATTTGCGCCTTCGGCGCCTGGGCCTTCGAGCCGAGGAGATACGAGCAGAGAGCGTGCGGAGGCCGCACCATCGGCGGGAAGTCCGCCGATAAATGCGCCTTCGGCGGTAGGGCCTATAGGCCAAGGAACATCGGGCGTGCGGCCCCCTGCCATGTCGCCTTCGGCGATAGATGTCCGCGGCGCTACGCCTGCGGCGGACAAGGCGCCGGCAAATGCGCCTGCGCACGGGCCGGGCACAGCCCCCACGGACCGATCAAGGGAGCAGCAGACGGAGGAGCGAAGTGACTGTCCGCTGGATGAAATCTCGATGCGCGATGCGCAATCCAACCCCGCGCAGCCACCCTCCGCTCAATCGCCTTCGGCGGCGGACGACGGCGACAGAGAGAACGCGGTAGGCAATCAACAAGCGAACGACGGGGATGCCGCTCGGGTACATTCGCCTTCCGCCTTAGACATTTTGGCGACGAGTAGCGAGGCTGCAGCCGTGCCTTCGCAGGCAGCACACGTCGAGGACGTGTAGCCCCACTCGGGGCAGTCGCCGACGCAATCAATGGCGACTGAAATTCTCCACTCGGATGATGACGACGGAGGCTCCACGGAAGAAATGTCAGGAGCAGAAGACACCGAGGAGGAGGAGGAGGAAATTGTTGGAGCGCCGGCGGCGGCGCTCTCTGAGCAGGTGATTCCGTTGCTGCGGTACTTGGATCGCAAGGTCGATAAATACGCCGACCCACTCCAGCCGGGATCTTACATCGAGTTAGTGCGCAGGCGGACTCGCACTAAAGTCCACACCAGCAAGCTGTTAGCTAGAGTGGACCAGGAGTTGAGGGACTTGAAGGAGAAGCATGAGTGCTTGTGGGGTCAGTACAAGCTTAATCAGAAGTTCTACAAGCACACCGAGAAGATGAAGGATGAGAAACTGGGCGAGCTCACCAAGGAGCAGGTGAAGGTCAAGGAAGCACTCAATTCTGAGCAGGCCCAGAATCGGATTTTGTCAGAGGAGCTCGTGCGACAGACGCGGTTGTTGGAACAATGTCAGCTCGCACGGCAGGCGGATGAAGAATTAATCCGCAGTTTGCAGTCAGAGTGTGGCGAATTGAGAGCGCAACGTGCCGAAGCCGAATCGCAATTAGTGATAATTGAAGAGGATCGCAGGAAGGAGGCGGATCGCACGAAGGTGGAGACGGCGAGGCGAGTCGCCCATTGTCTCAAGGGCTACGCCCACTGGGAAGTGAAGGCGCAGGAGAAACTCACACTGCGTGAGTTTGAATTGCGCGCAGCCGGGTTGTTGTCAGGCGACAGTAGGAGTCGGCGGAAGGTAGCGAAGAAGCTCGAGGCCTTTCTGTCGAAGGCACAGGATACCATGTCCGCCCTCGAGGGGGAGGTGTCCGCGGCGTTGCAGCGTTGGGGACTGCGCAGTCGAGCGGAAGAGTGGCAGGGTAGGGAGTTAGTGCGCGGCAGTCGGCCGCGCAGGAGACGTAGTACAGGTTCCGCGGAGTGTAGTGTAGCGTGGTTCCGTGCAGGCGTGTAGCGTAGTGCAGTGTAGTGCTAGGTAGGACTTAGAAGGTATAAAATAGTTCCAGGCGTTTTGCCTGGGGTTCTTTCCCATCAGAAGTATAGATCAGGAACCCATTTCCTTTGCCTGTTTGTGTCCTTGAGTTCTGTCACCACGCACGAGGAGTTACAACTTAGCGTTCCGCATTTTGTAGCTGAAGGCCTTCGGCCGAATGTTCAGAGCTAGTCCATTGGTTAGAGACTTGAGTAGTTCGGATCTGCACCTGCGGGTGACTGCCGATGCTCAGAGCCAGTGACTAGTTAGATACTTGAACAGTTTCGCCCCTACACCTTCGAGTGTTTCTTTCTGATTGTACTCCCTTGGGATTTTTCCCCTGAATGCCAAAGTGAAGTTTTGCTACTTCGTGTAAGCCTTGGTTGTAAATTCAGGTTACGCTGCAGCAGGTGCTTTGAGGGTAACCCCTGTAGTATTTCTGGGAATGACAAGTGCCTGAGAATTCAAACTCTTCAATAGACTGTTGTTGTGTTACTGGAATGTTTCACAGGGAGTCCTTCAGTGCGGACCTGTGTTCTCTGCGCGTTTTGTGAGTTGAGAGTGTTGTTCACCGCGTATGAGTGACTTCGATCCGAAGTAGGCAGTCCAAACCGGGTTTCCTACGCTAGCAGCAAGCTAGTGGAAGCGTTGTAAAAGCCGGAGTTGGAAGTCACTGCCCGCAGCTTTGCCGAGTGTGCTCGCGAGAGACTTTCCCCCTGAAATCTTGAAGTAGAGGTCCTAACGGATCTCTGGGTTGTATTTCTGTAGTTTCAGGTGTGTGTGTGTGTGTGTGTGTGTTACGCTGCACTGTGCGACCTCCGAGTGCGCTCCGAGTGGACACTTGCAGTATTTCTGGGAGTGACAGTCGCCTGAGAATTCAAACTCATCAATAGTCTGTTAAACGTGACACTTTGTACCCTGTGTGTTCCTCTGTCCCTGTGGGTTCGACCTTTCTACCACTATATTGCAGTTTTAGCCTTTAGTGGGTTATTACAAATGTATGCCGATGATAACAGCTTAGTGTCTAGCACTTGGCAAAGTCCTTAATACGCTCGTAGGAATGGTTGGGCCAGGAAGGATGATTTTGAGAATGCGGTGCCTTTCGAGTCATGCATGTCTAGGTTGTACACCGCGACGACCATACTTGGTTAAGATCTTCCAATTCTAGGCGCTGCTCAAAATGGTAGAACAGCAATGTCATTAGCGATGCTGGTGTGCTCCAGGCTGACATGTCGTTATTGTTGGTGTTACAGCTCTGGCGTTCAAGTACCCGCTCCTACAACCATATCTCCAGGCAGGTGCCTTCGATTACAACTATGGAGCAAACTTCGCTTCTGGAGGAACAACTGCTTCCAACGACACTTCTAGGAACCCGATATATCTGTTAAATCAAGTTGCCCAATTCGTCAGATTCAAGCAGAGCGCAACTTCTCAGAAGAATCAATTTGGTACGTGCCATTCTCTCTTCTCTACTTTCTTCCTAACTCTGGAACAAGGACCGGAGCTAAGAATGAGAATGAATAGTTGTGATGAAACTTCTGCCGTACTTTAACCTCGCAATATACCTTACGGGCATTGCATTCCAATTCTTTCGTCTGACCATATCTTAAACTGTCAATTTCACCAAGCATGTGGAACTTGAACAGCATTTGTCATTCAGAGATCAGAACTTTTCTTGACGGTCTCTGAGTTCCATCTACTGATATCTTCAAGGTGTTCTCTGATTGTATATTCAGCATGCCATCCGTTCAAACAGTTTCTGCCTCGCGATGACTCGTATGGCGAAGGATTGTACACCTTTGAAATTGGAGGAAATGACGTTCTTAACGCCATCTTACTCAAAAACCAGACTGCAGCGCAAGTTGTAACTCAAGTGATCCCTGATGCCATGATGAACATCCTCGCCACTATCAAGGTAAACATTTCATGAAAGAATGAAGATTCTCATAAGCTAGATTCTCTCAAGACTTAGTGGTAACCGGATGAAGTACGGACAATTAAAATACTAAGTTATCGGAGAGGAACAACCAGCCAATGGAGCGTTGAAAATTATTTTAGTAAAAGTTTCAGGATGTTAGAAGATCAAGATCTGAAATCCTTGGATCAATTATATGTTTTACTCTTCTAATTTGCCAACTTGAATTAAACATTTTCGTAACTGATTCACGCTGAGATTTAGAATTACCAGATATAAATATTGTTCATGTGTACCTTTTTCCTTTTGAGAGTTACGGATGATCAGCCAAGGGGTCTTATTTCATCTCTTTGTTGTCCAGATCTTAACTTCAAATGGGGCCAAAAAGTTTCTCTTCTTCAACACTCCTAATGCAGGCTGCAGCACCATAGCTATGACTGTTCTGGCATCCATTCCCGGGCTACAAAAGGATGATATGGGCTGTATTGTGTTTATCAATGAGCTCGATCAAGCCTACAACAAAGCTCTTAATGATACAATTGCATCTGCTCGACTTTTATATCCTGGTAGAACGTTCTCCATCTTCAACTACTACGCTGCCAACTTGGAGATTTTGACAAACCCCTCCCTTTACGGTACATTCTGAACTCATTTCTTGCAGAACAATATTTTGGAGTTGACGCATGTTCCTTGAGACTTCTTCTTCGAATGCTTGGATAACTGAAGGTCTCACGTTCTCTCGACATCTTCTGCTGTTTGATGACAGGATTCAATCCAGCTTTGACCAAGCGTGCGTGCTGTGGAGCTCCTGGATTTGGAACCCTCAACTTCAACCCACTCGTTACTTGTGGTAATCCAGGGTCCAACAAATGTGCAAACCCGGAGGAGTATGTGAACTGGGACGGTGTACATTTTACCGACGCGTTTTACAGGCAAATCTCCTTATGGGCCCTCTCTGGAAAGTTTACTGATAACCCGGTCAACTACACTTCTCTGTGCAAATTAGATTTCCGGAACTTTGCAAAGTCTTCCACATACAACTCCGTGTATCCTCAGAGTTGCAGGGTTACTTTCACGTGATTGATTTCTTTCGGTTACATTCTTTCCGAATTAGTGATCTTAAGCTCGAAAACTAGATCTCAGAAGAGTTTACAAGGGAATTTCAGTCCCTTCTAGTACGCTTCTTGAGCTCAAGGAATGTTAGAAATATCAAGTTTCAAATGATCTTGATGCGGCTGTCGTACAAAATACCCATTCTTTGATTATAACCACTAGCTATAGATGCAGATAATCCTGATTTCCATCAGGATTTGTATCACGAATTTTTTATCATGATAAGAATTCAATGAAGTAGTTCAAAGTCTATGTTGAAAACCAGGAATGATAGAAGTTGAGGCTATGTTGCACAAACATAACATCGATTTTTAAGTGCTCAAGCAGTGAAAGAAAAGTAGAGTATTCTCAGAATTTTTGTGTCAATCGTACTTTGAGAAAAAAATTTCACTGAAATACTTTTAGCTTTATAAAATTGTCACTCAACGTTGCACTCACTTACTTCTAATTGTTATTTGCAATCTTCTCATGGTTGATTGTCTTATCTTTGTGAAATTTCAAACAAATTTTAATTTTTTACTCTTTGTATTAGTAAACAAAATTTGTGAGTATTTTCTTCCTTTTTTATTTCAAAATACTCCAAGCATTTTTTAACACCAAACTGTCATTATAACAGCTTTAAATTACACTATATATGTGTTTGTAAGAAGAAAATTTGCTTTGATATAAAAAAATTGTATGAATCACAAATCTGGAAATTTTCATCAATAAATTTTTCACCTTAATACATTATTTAATTACAACCAAATTCATGAATATGAAGTTATATTTACAAATTAACTGTTGTAGTAATTATTACAAAAAAAATAAATCTTATTATCAGTTGCATTCTTTAAATTTTAAATCTGTATATCATTTTAAACCTACAAATTAATGCTTAAAAAACCTAAAATTTTTAGATTAAAACAAAACACAAGTTATGAACATTTAAACTATAAAATGAAGTTGTTTATAAATCTTAACAACAAGATTTTATATTCAAATTTTAAAATCAAAGTTAAGCAATCAATTGCAATCTTGTAATTTGAACAGAATAAATTTGAACTTAATTTAAAAATTTTCATCAAAATTTATTCAAATAATATATAATTTTTATCCTATAAAATGAATATTTACTGAAATGCCAAATTTTTTAAAACTCTCTAGAAATGAATCAAAAAAAATCCTATATCTAAACTTTAACTCCTACTTGGAGTTATTGTAACCTATGTCATGGATAAAAAATTTCTCTTTCCACCATTTCTTAAGAGGATTTAAATTTTTTTTTGGTTTGCCAGTGAGGCTATGTTTTTTTTTAATGATTTTATTGTTTTTGACTGATTCATCAATTAAAAATTAAATGGTTTATGTACTTTCTACGATTTGCCATCCGTTTTTGTTTTATTGCACACTTGTATATCTATCACAACTTTCTATAAAATTTTATGTATATATCTCAGTGCTAGTTATTGCTTTTTCATTACTACAGATATAATTTTTTTAAATCATTTTTAGACTTTGGCGGTTTACTTTGAATTTTACATCTGCAACTTTATATTTATTGTCACATCCTTGCTTAGGTTATTTCGGGCTTATTTTTTTCAATCATTATCATAGTATTTTACCACATCATACTTACATATATCCACCATTTTAGCCACTTTATACTTGTCGTTTATCATCACTTCAAATCACTACCTTATCATCATTTGACTAGTACTACGAAAAAGGTTCTATAAAAAATTATTCATAACTTTGGGCCACATTGTAACAGTATTAGTACATTGCCAGTTTTTTCTAATATAAACTTGGGTTCATTTACGTATTCTTAGATTTATTCAGTTATTTCAATGAGTGTTTGCATTACATCTATACAGTCTAAATCTTTCTATTCTCAAACATGCATCAGAATGAAACAAAGAGATTCATGACGTTTCTCATTTGAAGTTGATTATTTTTTAAATATCTCTAATTATCATGTGAAATGTCAGATCATGTATGAAATATATGTAGTTTAAAGCTATTATTTAATTAAATATATTATATGAAATAATATATAATGCTAATTTAATCATGAGTAAGTTCAATGTTTGAATATATCCTTGGCAAATTTACAAAAAAATCTAGAGTATGTGAGTTTGCACCATTACTTTTTTCTTTTCAATGAAAAAAATTTAAAAATACTAATTAACGAAATTATTTTAAAACTTGAACTTGTATTAATTCAACTCAAAGCCAGGTTGTAATTATCAGAAGGATATTGCTACAGCAACACAGGAAAAAGTAACTTTCCAAAAGATTTATGCAAAATAATGGCCAATTGTGAAATATAATATATTTTTTGTTAATACAATGTTACGTTGCAATTTTGATTCTTATGAAAAGAATGTAGAATGTGATTATCATCAGATATAGCAGAAGATTCTTAGCTCTAATAAATAAAGAAGTAGAGGAATTTTTTGAAACACGTTTGGAGAAAACACTGTGGGAGGTATGTTCAAGAATAAAGAGCTATTTTTACAAAAGATTTTTGAATTTGTTAGGACTTTTATATTGAGTGATGATGAATGTAAAGATTATGTATATATTGGACTAGATTTCATTGAATAAATATCACACTTCTATGCTCATGATGATTAGTTAAAAATTCATCTGAGATAAACTTAATTGAGAATCAACATTGAGGTCAAACCCCACTACAAATAGTGAGGATATAACGGATGTAGAAGCCGCAAAAGATTCACTTCAAATGTACATAAAATGCGACATAGTGGCTACTTCATGTAAAAACTGACCAACTTAGCAACTCTCTTGCCAACTTGGAAGAGAGCATGAAGTTGATTCTTGATTATAAGAATAAAGACTTACCATAACTTATATTCTCTTACTTTAACTTGTTTCGACTTCTCTTTTACTACACGTCACATACGGATATGCTTTGACTTTATCTCAAAGTAGATTTCATCTATAAGCAATCGGGAGATTCGTCCCATGACATTGCGAGGCAAAGCTTTGGACATCTGGAGAAAGCGGTGCGACAGTTGGCTAAAAAGAGAGAAGAACAAAGATGATTGTGATGAGGAAAGGTCTCCAAAACATTGCTACTGCTGTCTCACCACCCGATATTATTGAGAAATTTGCTTGATGGGACCCCATCAGAACGCTGACTGCTTGATGAGACCCAATACGTTCCATTTTACCCGATGGGACCCGTTCTACGTGTCACCGTCAATTATGTTCTTGTAACTGATTTGTTTCCAATTCAATGAAAAAAAATTATTTCTTCCCGAATTTAAGTAAATCAGATTTTTCATGGCTCCCAATCTACATGGTGGAAGAGCCCAATTTCTTGAGTCCCATAATGATTTTACAGTTATAATGTATAGGCATAATCTACTTACTCCTTGCTTTTTTTTCTAAATCTCTTGGTCGAAATCATGTCTGTTGCCTATTTTGGTCCGAGAAGAGCATTTCACTTTTCAACAAAAAGCCTCAGTGTTTTTCCTAGCTCGGTTTGAAAGCAATTACAAGAACTCGCAGTAGAACATCGGTGACGGTGACTGAAATTGCCGTCAGAAGGGTCCCATGGAATAAAATGGAACTTATTGGGTCACATCAAAGAGTCAACGTTCTGATGGGGGTACCATCAAGCAAATTTCTCGATATTATTATAAAGATAGAGAATACTCGGAGCGATATTGGTTTTGATTTTATTATATGTTCACTCAAAATATATACTTGTCACAATAAAACAATTTCAAACCAGGAAATCGAACTGAGCTGGATTTTTGTCACGTCCAAACATATAATCGAGCTGCTACAAATGATTATAATATTTGGGTTAATCATGAGCAAAAGTCATGCCAATCGAATATCCGTGCAAGCTCACAAAGTGTGTCAAGACGGGAGCCCATGACAGCAAAGTTTCGAGAAGGACAGAACAGTGCCACAGGTTCCCAACAGACCGGCTATTATGATCACTGCTGTCCCTGAGATTTGATAAGTGAATTCAACATATGAGACCACAAACAATTATGCAGTTCAATCTCCTCCCACTCTAACGGAACAGTAAACGTCCACGAGTCTTTCGCGACAGTCCTACCCGGAGCCACGAAGAAAATACATTAAGATCTTAGCGGCCTGTACACTTTTTTCAACAATTATTTTTTTCAGCATCTTTTTCCAGTATCCACTATCTTTGTTATTTTCAGTATCCTCACACAACGAACAACTTTGCTACCTCATTGTTAACTTTCAAGGTATCAGCTACTATTTGACATCTTCGTTTTTCTCAAAATCGACTATTTTAATCCTCATCGTGAGTGAGCATCACTTAAAATGGACAGATATATGGCCAATGACATAGTGGCTACTTTGTGTTAAGACCTAGATGGTTATTGCACCAACATGACAAAAATAAAAGTAATTCTATTTTTTTCTTAACGTGATAGCTAACTTCCTGCAGACTTGCAAGGGAACCTGAAGTTGATTCTTGCTTATAACAACAAAGAGTAAGACGAACAAGAGCTTGGATTCTCCTCCACTAACTCTAGTGATTGACTTCTCTTTTACTACAAGTCACGTACGTGTTTGCATTGAGTTTATCTTAAGACTAGGTTATCTCTATATAAAAAGGGAGATTCGTCGCATGACCTTGCGGGGCAAAGCTCTTGACATCTGAAGGAAGTAGTGTGACAGTTGGCAAAAAAGAGATGAACGAAGATGACTGTGATGACAAAAGGTCTCCATGTTACTGCTACTACTGCCTCACCACTACGTATTATTATACAGGTAGAAATTACTTGATATTTGATATTCTCATATTATAAAAATAACTAAACTTTATATGTCTCAAAATTTGTTTTTTCCCATAGTAAAATAGCTCTAAACCAAGCAATATGAATCGAGCTGGATTTTGGTCACTTCCTAACACGGGATTGAGTTGCTACACAAAATCATGAGTTCGTTTGGATGTCGCGAGTTGAATATGCGTACAAGCTCAGAAATTATGTCAAGACGGCAGCCCATAAAACCTTCGAGAACGACAGAACAGTGCGAAAGATTCCCAACAGATCTACAATGTGGGTCACGCTGTCCCTGTTTGTCGGAACTAATTCTGTCTTTTTGAGGAATGCCTTAAACAGATGGGACAGTAAAGTCTTCTGCAGTTCCATGTCCTCCCGGTCTAACGGAACTGCCGCGAGTCTTTGGCAACAGCCCTACCTGGAGCCACGAAGAAACACACTTCGAAAGGTTGTGTGCAAGGTCATCGTTTGACCAATGGGTTACCAGGCATGGGGTCATGATCCGTCTCCGATCACGAAAAGATCTGAACCTGGAAAGGATCCGGCCATAGGCTAGCAGAAAGAAAAGGATCCTCCGAGCACGCTGGAGAGGTGCTCTGTAAAGGAAGACCCTTGGAATCTGGATAAGCCATGGATTCCCGAGAATCAATGGCTTATCCAAGCCCGAACCCGCTGTGCTTCTGTAGCCGCATCCGAACCTAGAAATGTCTGCCTCTCTTAGAACTATTAATAGTCTTAGTCTTAGTATATAGTTGGAAATCTGGAGAGCGATAGAAACATAATACACAAAATTATTGCAATTGAGGCTAGTTACCATGAAGTTGAGTAACTTCGGTTACACAGATCTGTGCTTTACTAGTCTTTAGATATTATTTCTGTACTATCCCTATTTAGAAGCGCAACCAGTGAGTTATTATTATATCACTTCAGAAAAATCCAATCTACACAAAACACTCATGTTACTCATTGGAAGGAAGCCTTTGGGCATAAAAAACTATCACTTTATTCGAATATGGATTTATCTTCTTAATAACTGGATGTAAACGCGCAATTCTGCCAAAAGATAATTCTACTAACACCAATCTAGTGTGATTATGGTATCCAGCGCAAATAAACTTACGCGTTGAAATTCGAATTGAGGTAGAGAAATTGGAATTCAGTCACTTTTTTTCTTCTCGTTAACCCGTTTACACTTTTGATTCATAATATTCACTGTTGACTTAGAAGCTTCTGATTATATAATATTTAGAGTATTCACTGCTGACTCATTTGGCTTTCATTTTAGCTTCAGTTGGAGGTATGTCAAAGAACATCGGACCTTTAAAGGGGTCCTTAAGACCACATTGACTTTAAGAGCTATGATTGCACGCTTTTTGAAACAGTGATGACAAGAAAGATGATCGCTGCTATGTTTTTTTGGGATAACGTTAAGGTTTGACTCTTATACGGTCTCAAGTCAAAACACAGACACATGTGCTTCGTGGCTTACCTTCTGCCTTGAATTCTGTCATTCTTTCATACCAGTCATTTGTTGACACTGGATTGTCGTTCATGCGATAGGAACTTGTTTTCTAAGTGACGTCAACACGTTGACACAAGTGAGTAGATGTACAATTATTTTTTATCTTGGCTTAAAACCTTGTTCAAATACAGTTAAAACAAGGGAGCGGTTAGTTAAGGTTAATTAGCCCTCACTTTACTACAGGCTATTATCTGATTGGTCAATGCAGTGTTATAGGGTTCGTGTGAGTTTAGCAACTACTTCAGCAGTCTTCCACCAATCAGACTTCGTGTGAGGCTAATTAACCCTAACTGAAGATAACTAGCCACTCCCTAAAACAAATGCATGAACAAATGGTATCAGGAGATGGACGGAACACCTACAGTGACTCTAATATACTTCGTTCTTTAGATTGCGTCGTACAAACTTCAGAACGAAGTCCTTCATAAAGGAGTTTTATATTGGTTTCACTCAGAGATAGATGCGATAGACGACAGAGAATCGAATCGATCTCCAACATTTACATTACAGAGCCGACCTTGCAGGCCTGCATGTCGTGCGTCAACAGAAATTTTCATGCAAAATCATGATGTTCAGATTTACCTCAGATAAGCCTATAGCAGAATTTTCCGCACGGTTTTGCTGGACAGGTGAATATGTTCATGAAGCCTTTGTCTTATAAAGTCTTGCTACTTCTCTAGTGAGATCGACTCCTGCAAGTTCACGGGCTCAATTGGTATAAAAGCTATAGGCACAGATACGACAACAGGCCAACCTGAACATTCTGCATTTTGTACAATCGTCGGGCATCTCATTCACTTCACAATGAGTACTTCTTCTGGAGCTCGCTTCCTTGACTGCCTTTCTTGGCGCAACCTTGCAGCAGTCTTGTTCATGATCGCCGCTCTAAATGCAGATTCTGCTATCAGTGGCACTCCAGTTAAAAGCGCAAATCCTGCTTGTCCCACTGCCTTCTGGAATTTCGGAGACTCGCTGACGGACACCGGAGGCACGCTTGACGTCTTCGCTTATTCCTTGGACCCCGAACGCAGCCCCTATGGAGAATCGTTCTTCGGCAGGCCAGCTAAACGTTTCTGCAACGGACGCGTTGTGCCTGACTACTTCTGTACGTTCACTCTCTGTTCACTATCCCAATTACTCGTCGATCAATATGTCAGATCTAATCTTCCTGGATGTATTTTGGATTTATGATATGCTGTTATGGGTCGCCCATGTTCAGGCAAGCGACCAATTTCAACACTGAGAGATCAGATTGACAGAAATGTATGTCGATGATTTCAGCTTAGTAGCCAGCCCTTGGCAAAATCCTTGATACGGTCGTAGGAATGGTTGGGCCACGAAAAACTTTGATGATTTTGAGATTACGGTGCCTTTCAAGTCATGCATGTCCAGGTTGTACACCACGATGTACCATCGTTGGTTAAGATCTTCCGATTCTAGGCGTTGCTAAAAATGGTAGAACAGCAATGTCCTTGGCGATGCTGGTGTGTTCCAGGCTGACATGTCGTTATTGTTGGTGTTACAGCTCTGGCGTTCAATTACCCGCTCCTACAACCATATTTACAGGCCGGTGCCTTCGATTACAATTATGGAGCCAACTTCGCTGCTGGCGGAACAACTGCTTCCAACGACACTTCGAGGAACCCGATATTCCTGATAAATCAAGTTTCTGAATTCGTCAGACTCAAGCAGAGTGCAACTTCTCAAAAAAATCAATTTGGTAGGTCCCATTGTCTCTTCTCTTCTTTCTTCCTTGCTTTGGAACAAAGACCGGAGCTAAGTATGAGAACGAATAGTTGTGATGAACTTCTGCCGTACTTTTACCTCGCAATATACCTTACGGGCATTGCATTCCAATTCTTTCATCCGACCATATCTTAAACTGTCAATTGACCAAGCATGTGGCCTCCGCTTGACGGTCTTTGAGTTCCATCGACTGATACATTCAAGGTGTTTTCTGATTGTCTATCCAGCATGCCATCCGTTCAAACAGTTTCTGCCTCGGGATGATTCGTATGGCGAAGGATTGTATACCTTTGAAATTGGAGGAAATGACGTTCTTAACGCCATCTTGCTCAGAAACCTGACTGCGGAGCAAATTATAACTCAAGTGATCCCAGAGGCCATGATCAACATCCTCGCCACTATCAAGGTAACATTTCATGAAAGAATGAAGATTTTCATAACGTATGACTCAGTGGTAACCGGATGAAGTACGTACAGTAAAATTACTAAGTTATCGGAGTGGAAGAACGAGCCAATGGAGCGTTGAAAATTATTTTAGTAAAGATTTCAGGATGTGAGACGATCAAGATCTAAAAACCTTGGATCAATTATCCTTCTTTCTCCTCTCATTTGCCTACTTCAGTTTAATAATTTCTTAATTGGTTCATGTTGAGATTTAGAATTGTCAGATGTGAATTTTGTTCATGTGTACATTTTCGCTTTTGAGAGTTAGAGATGATCAGCCAAGGTGTCTCATTTCATCTCTTGTTTTCCAGATCTTAACTTCAAATGGGGCCAAAAAGTTTCTCTTCTTCAATGCTCCTAATGCAGGCTGCAGTACCATAGCTATAACTGTTCTGGCATCCATTCCCGGGGTACAAACAGACGAAATGGGCTGTATTGTGTTCATCAATGAGCTGGATCAAGCCTACAACAAAGCTCTTAATGATACAATCGCATCTGCTCGACTTTTATATCCTGGTAGAACCATCTCCATCTTCAACTACTACGATGCCAACTTGGAGATTTTGACAAATCCCTCCCTTTACGGTACATTTTGAACTCAATTCTTGCAGTACAATAATTTGGAGTTGATGCATGTTCCTTGAGACTTCTTCTTCGAATTCTTGGATAACTGAAGGTCTCACGTTCTCTCGACATCTTCTGCTGTTTAATTTCAGGATTCAATCCAGCTTTGACCAAGCGTGCGTGCTGTGGAGCTCCTGGACTTGGAACCCTCAACTACAACCCGCTCGTTACTTGTGGTAATCCAGGGTCCAACAAATGTGCAAACTCTGAGGAATATGTAAATTGGGACGGTGTACATTTTACCGACGCGTTTTACAGGCAAATCTCTTTATGGGCCCTCTCTGGAAAATTCACGGATTGCCCGGTCAACTACACCTCTCTGTGTAACTTAGATTTCCGGAATTTTGCAAAGTCTTCCACATACAACTCTGTGTATCCTCAAAGTTGCAGGGTTACATTCACGTGATATCCTCTCGGTTTTATTCTTCCATAATCGATGATTTTAAGCTTGAAAACTAGATTTTAGAAGAGTTTAGAATGGAAAATTAGGGCCTTCGAGATAGCGTCTGGAGCTCAAGCACAGTACATCGTGAACAGGATACTATCTTCTGAGTATTCCCTGACTCTCTTGAATCCCGTCTTATAATGTGCCATAATTTGTGTTATCTTGGACGGTCTTCGTAATTAATGCTGTATATGGATCTCTTATATAAGAGGATGCAATTTGCTCATCAGTATGTGTCGTAGGTAATGTATATTTGAGACCACACAAGGTAAAGGTAATCCTGAATGAATTGAAAACTTAGTGTGGTGTTCTCAAAACGAGAGGCCAATTCCAGGTTACCACCAGCGCATCTTACGAACGAGATGAAGTTGTGAAATCAGCATGGGATCTGAATGGAAACTCTAACGGTTATGAAGATTTCCGATCTTGAATGTGTTAACTGCAACCAATACGCGGATGGAAGTGATTCGCATACATATGACACCAGTGTACCACCACTCGGGTGATATGTTGCGAATGAAGTATCCAGCCTATCGTGCCATATGGGTCCCGTTCTTAGCTAAAGAGTGCGACTGACTCTCAGCTGGTGGATGCCTTCATTGTCACCGTTCGGGGGACTTCGTGCTAGATCAAGGAGTCACTTTTGCTTTTCACAGAACCAATCAAGTTCTGTGAAAGTATTTACAGTGCGCACATGGGGAATAAGAACTGTGCTTGACTAAGAAGACCTTTAGAACTCGTGGACTTGCTATGTCGCATCCACGAAAAGTGGATGTGATAACATACGTCACAATGATGTAATTAACTTTGCACAGCTTATATCTTTGTCTCAATTTACAAATTTCTTTTAATCATATTTTTATCTTATTTCTTGTTGTATTTGAGTATCCTGAATCAATTTTCGTTTTTTAGCGTTCTAAGATGCTTCTCCCAATAAAATATCCATGATTTAGACTGGCATTTTTTGGTGTCTGAATTTTTCTCTACCAGCACGTTACATGGGTTACAAAACAAATATTTCTCTAGATTCTCAGACTGGAGTAAATGTTCAAGTCTTTTTCTGTTGATAATATATCTGGAGCTGACAACAAGAGTTAATTATCTACATTTGACATCTATCTGTCATTTACTCTAGAAAGCTCTGACTTTTTTGAAATCTCACTGACTCCATGATGTCCATATTGTGAAATCTTATCGACGTTTCTTTGTTACGTAGCGCTTAAAACACACACACACATATATATATATATATATATATATATGTTGTGTCATAGACTTGATATAAGCAAAAGAGAGAAAGACATGCTTCATTGACCAAACTATGCTTGCACTATTCAAAAAATTTATATTTGGATTATTTTTGAGATTTGTGCAAAAAAGGTATATATTCAGTAACTTTTGTTTGTATCTGATGAAAAATGAAACATACTAATATACTACTTTTTCACAATCTAAAATAGGAAAGATTTACAATAATTGGTTGGACACTCAAACATAAGCAACTTTATCTTTATAGAGCTCACCTTGGTTGTTGTAATCTGCAAACTTGATACATTGTTCTGAAATCTGTTGATCCCAGACTCTATATTGAAGGATGCATATAAAAATTCAAAAAATACTGTGAATGACACATAATTTGTTATAACATACTTTGAATTTAATGCTGATGCCCACGTTTGACTGCAAAACGTCTCTGTTTTCGTGACCGAGACCCAAAGCCGGGTAGCATATTTTGAAACCCACGTATCCGAGCCAAATGCATTTGTTAAAAGGATAACAGTGTTCGCAACGACTCGTAATATATCATAGTTGTCTTAGAGGGGCATGTACGATGCCGTGGTCGATATCAAGCACATAAAGTCACGCACATGAAGATTCACTTTTCGGCTTCGCGGCGTATCGAGACAATACTCACAACAATAAATAGAGACAGAGAAGGATGCCTCACCTGTTGTGACACTGTCAAAGTATATTTATTTATTCCTTGCGTTTGACCATTCTTCTCACATAGTCGACGGGCGAAGTGAGATCACGATGAAGGAGGATGCCTGGCAGGGTCGGAGCATCGAAAATATTCATTGTTTGTTATGAACAGACAAGCAAGGGCCGGTTGTGCTCCCGCTGCCACGTTGGGCACCTTGAGTTTGTTTGAAACCCTAAAGTGAGCGTCTGTAGATTTCTGGTGTATATATATTCGAAGTTTGCGAGTGTCTGTCACGACTATACTTGAACAGGATCTGTTCTATAGTACATCTTGGTCTGTGATCTCTATTGCAGACATGTCCCTAGAGCCGGACGATGACCAGAGGCTTGGGTACCGTTGCGCGAATACCGCTGGCCAGAGTTGGTGCAAACCTGGGCTCGGCCCAGCCTGATGACCGTCTCGTTGCGCTCATTCCGCCGGCGGTGAAGGCATCCAAGTGATCTGTCGGGTTCGTTCTTGTACGCTCTTTTTCTTTTCACGAATTGGGGTATTGCCTTCGAGTGCGGGACTGTGAGAACTTTCTTTCGTGAACTCCTGTCATGTGTTTAAACCTAAACCCTAAACTGAACGTGTATTCTTGAAGATGCGTTAAGTCAGAGTTAGAGCTATGTAATCATTTGATTATGAGGCTTTACTGACATTTCACTTGACAAACACAACCTTCAGTGGACTTGTAATCATGGTTTCACAATGATGTAAACAGTGGAAAATGATAGCACAGACTCATTTCGTCCAGTAACCCTTCTGAGTTCGTATCTTGGTCATGGTGAGGAGTGTCCTTGTACAGTTCGTGTCGTAATAATATTTCATCTATTCACTGGACGGAGCAAGTAGGTTTAGTAGGGAGAAGTTCTACTATCGGACTCTATTATATACCAATTGTTGTCCTGTTCAGGTGATAGCAACATAAGTTGAAACCGACTTAGAACAACTCCCTTTCTCAAACCCTCATAACAGACACTAAAGTCTGTTATGAGGGTTTGAGAACATCTGGTTGCATGTGGCTCACGATGTGGGCTGAAATCAGCTCACCTTATCCGCTTGGAACACTCCTTTTCTGGAGAATATCGAACACGTCTACATCTTCGGCAGGAAGTAGATGCTTCTCACCCCACATCTTTCGTGAGAATTTCATTATCATGCTTCTCACTCTGCAACAATGATACTGCAGGAGGTTATCTTGTGTCGCTCAGATTCTGTATATCTTTTAAGAGTATTGATTTTCAGACCGTGAGGAGGAAGGTGAGTTAAAATTACTGAGAATAGAGCGAATGAGAGCTTCATCATAATCATCTCTGCTGTTTAACAGTGTGTAGGTAGCTGAAGGAGATGAGGCATACACCAGACCTGAGAATTACAAAGTTTTGACTTCTCAAGGCATGGAGTAGAAAGTATATGGGTAACCTCTGAGTTCGAGTAACTTCCAGTAGTTTGATTTAATAGTAGAAGATGATATGAAGTATGAACCCGCCTGTAATGCCGTCATGGTAGATCCACTGACAATCACATTTTCTGGGCTTGATAATTAGATTTCGGGGCTTGGTGATAAGATGTCGTTTACTATGTCCATACGGATGACAAGTTCCCGAGCCTGTCCTAGCTCAAGATCTATCACATGGAACAACGGTTTGCACAACGTAAACAGCGTTGTGACGGTGCATGGTTTCATGTGAATTCCATAAAAATCATCTGATAAAAACTGAGTAGAAGCATGAAGCTAAGTTAGGAATTATCATCAAATGAAGGTCCAGAACAGATTTGTCTCACATCGATTGTAAATTACCGAAATATCTACTATTTGAAAGTTCTACACACTTTTTCCACATGGTTTAGAAACGGTGCATTCTTCACATTTTCTTGATTAACGTTACATAAGTCTGGCATGATAGACATCCAATTCCTGATGTATTTATATTGTTGAAAAATTAGATTTTATTTTTTAAAACACAAATGCCTCCACACATTTTTTGGGAATATCTATGGTTTAACATTCTAGTACAAAGTTCTGAAATTAGCTCCAATTGCCTTTGTTTAATCATTGTCGTGAAAGTCTCTAAATTTCTTGAATAATTGCAGTGAAATTGGAATTACTAGTATTTGAAAATGTTAGTTTAAGAAACAAAATCTTGAAGACTGGACGAGTTTATATGAAAACACCAAAGTCACGCTCTAAACTGCCATTGAATAGAAATCTATCCAATGGAAATATGATTGATTTCACTCTAAAAATTCACGTGTGAATCGGTTGTAGCTGAAAAATCATTTCGTTGAATTACTGATTTATTCTTGGAGCAATATGATGGTTAATTTGGTTCCAATTCATCTCCAAAATATTATATGGATTAGTATCTAGCGCTAGATACCTGCACATGCCCATCTATTACCCGCAGGACATATCTGAATATGCTGGGGTCGAATGACAGGTCACAGGTACGCTGCCAAACTCTTTCCGGATGAATTTTTCAAGTTTGGCGGCTGCACAACGATGCCATGATGGTATTCTGCGCACGATCTTCAGAGCTGCGATGTCATTCTTTCACGCCAATCCTGTCGGTCGATTAATCAATAGGTTTGCCAAGGATTCAGGTGCATCTGTCGAAACAATGCCCTTTTTGCGAACATGTTCCTGAGTTCAGCGTTCCAGTTGTTATCAACTTTTGTTCTGATTGGAGACGCGAACAGTATGCCACTATGGGCAATTTGAATATTAATTTAGCCTTCTGTTGTGCAAATCTATGTCTTCGGGTAAGACATTCCATCTTTTTTTTCAATAGCCGACATCCTTTATTTTATCTATCTGAATTCTGCTTGTTTTCCGATGAATTGAGAAAGAGAATTTCCTCCTTTTAATTCTTATTCGGCTCTGTTCTTTGCACACTAACATTAGAGAGAGGTGAAGCGATTAGACACAGTCATACGTTAAGGATCAATGTACAGTCTATGGATATTAACGAAATTAACACCAGATTCACTATCACTACTATGGTTTCAAACAGATGGCTAGGTGTAAGCCTTGAGTTTATTGCTGTAATGATGATATGGTTGACGGCATCACTCGCTGTCTTTTCAATCGCACCGTCAAGTGATCAAGAGGCCTTCTCTCTTCAGATCATTCTTCCTCTCATTTACACCCTCACCATTAGTTCCGCAGTGACCGCAGTTTTGGGTCTTGCCAGTTTGACCGAGAGTAGCTTCAATGCTGTTGAACGAGATGGAACCTATGCGAATTTGAAACCTGAAGCCCACCTTTCGATCGAGAATCACATGCCACCTCCCGTTTGACCTTCAGCAGGAGCTGCTGGGTACAAACATGTATTGATGTGTTGGGAAGAGTTAGACTGAGCTCATCTGAAGAAGGTCGTGAGGTGGAATGCCTTGGGTCTCGAAGTTGAGGCTCCGTCTCATAGTGTTTGAGAGTATAGTCTATCTTGCAAGTTGTTCCCCATGGAAATCATGTAAGGGGAAGATATCCGTTTCTCTTGCTAATCGATTGATGAATGCCTAAATCTCTGGTGCTGGAATATAGCGAGAATTACATTGTCGGGTTACGTGATATCCTGCGAAGGTCAAGACTTATCGTACTTGATGAAGCAACGGCTGCTGTCAATGTGGGCATAGGTGCTAAGAGCTTGCGGGTATGATTTGAAATGATTCTTCACGTGCGGGTGATGTTTATTTTTCATCACGGTTGTTCGAATCACGTGATCCAGGTATTGGGAAGGTTGAGAATTTTTGCATGTTCAGAAATTACTTCATTTGTATTGATATGTAGCCTTCTTTATCTGCATAACATGCATATTCTTTAGATATATACTTCATCGGATCTATGAGAGAGTTGTACATGAAACCTGAAATGGAGGAACGAATGATCATGGAAGGAAGTTTTTCTGACTTGGAACCTTAGTGTTGCGATCCTGTAGTAATAATTGTGTTCAATTGTGTTATTGTGCTGGCTTTGACGGTACGGCCAGATGAAGTAAGCTGGTTACGAGAATCACAATTGCTAGCCGGCGTAAGATAATATTCCCTTCAAATTTGTGAAGCTGCGATAAGTTTTTTTCATGCCACGTTTTCCAATATCTGACAAAAGACTTCTACGACAACACATGAGGCAGTCAACGTGAATATATCGCTGAAGCGGTTGCAGGATCTTCTCTAGCAGGGGAGAGTGAATTACTCGAAAGAGAAAAACCAGCGATTGAATTAACAACGGCACGTCCTGCTACACTGCTCAAGATTTTACATCCAATGACAAATGCTAAATATGCTATAAGGTAAGTATAAATTTCACTCTTCAGTCAGTTAAATAAAAAATTGAGAGCAAAGACAAAATGAATGATGTGCAAGAATACCTATAAGTTTCAAGATGAAATTTACAGTCATGGTCTTGAGATGGTGAATTTATTTAATCTTTCTATCAATTGTTATATCATAAGTATAAATTGTAAATAAAAATAAATCATTCAAAAAAGTTAATTTAAATTTAATGTCCGCTAAAATACGACTTACGAATTATCAGATTTATTCAAAGATTGTAATTCCATTTGAGATATAATGTACAATCAATTAGTACATATAAAAGTCTGAATAAGAGATTCAATAATTAGCGCCTAATTAAATTTAGCACTATAGACAAATTTTTTGGTATTGAAATATTACATAAACTGGTACATAAACTGAATTTTTCAATCCTCGAATCTTAAAATAATGTACAAATGTATTAATTTTCTTCTACAAACATAGAGTATGTTTGCATCTTATTCTGTTTGTGCGTTTTATATTACAAATAATAACCTTTTGTACTGTCTTATTATGTAAGAAAATGTCATGAATACATAATTATGATGATATATATCCATACCATGAAAATTTTTTAACTGGATTTTGATTTGTAATGTAATTCTTTGTCATGACGCACGTTTCATTTGCTTTCTGGAATCTTGATTAATCATTTTGATGAGTGACATATTATTCGATTTATTTATATGTCACATTTGATATTTATTGCAAATATGCTATCCATAATCATGTTATTTTTTTTTACATCCCAACATGGTCAATAATATTTTAAATCACAGAAATGTAATGTGAAATATATCTTCATCAGATTTTTGTATATTTAACAACACTAATTTCTACGAATCTGCATCAACAATGTATGCATGTCAACTGAAATACAACTTTAGACATTGAAAATCTAGATTTAAAAGATGTGATAATATGCTGAGACATTTCTCTGAGAGTATCTGCAGATTAACTGCTACTATTATTACATGGTATGCATTGAAGTGAAAAGAACTAACAATGGAACATTATGCCTTCAGATTTCGCATGTTGCTTATCGAAAGCCCCTAGCCAGAGTACTTCATGGATGCGGTTTCTACGAGGTCTTTCGCTGAATCAAAATTTTCAACAGGCCTTTATCAGCACCTGTTCTCTTGTTAAGAGACTCCTCCTCAGGCTTTGAAAGTACTAATTAAACAATGGACAGTGAAAAAAAGTCACATGGCTCCACTCCAATTGTGAAAGAAATGAGCTGTTCGTCCCAGCCAGTCGTCATGATCAGTATATGGCCTGAACGGACTACTGAAGTCGAAGAGTTCCTGGAACACGCGACTAATCATCACGAATTGATCATATGTCCCGTATCAAAATACGATGGAAGTGGTTTTCTTGAAGTCACTAGGGAGAAGATCAACCTGGATAATAAGCTGTCTCACTTGGAGAAATTATCTGTAAGGACGAAAGAAGTATATGATAGGCAGATGTTTACACGTTGCGATAAGACAAACAACTCCCGTTCGACATATCAAAAGAAGAGTGCACGAAATGCAGATAAAGTGAGTACATTTCATTCATCGAAGTGGCAACGTAGTGTTTTTCTCCTTTTCTGATATGCAGTGGAGCTCAGAAGGAGCAGGTGCAGCAGAAACAGATAAAGATTAGCCAAAATTTCCACGTTTATTGCAAATCAAGGAAGCAGTTTAATTACAATCTGGAGGCGAGAGTGGAAACCTATCCGCTATGATCATGAAAATGTTATTCTAACATAAGTTCCTGAGCGTCTAGAACAGTCTTAAAGGCAGAGGAAAATGTGATCCACAGTGGGCACACCGCTCGGATGAAATGCGAAGGAGTCTACATCGGTTCTAAATGGTCGTCGTGCCCTGGCTGCTGCTGCTGATCGGAGACACAGGGAAGCCGATACCATGTCTTTTCGACGGAAATAATGTGAACACAGCACTGACGACGAAGGAGACCACAGCAGGGACGGTCTGGACGACGGTGGCACTCAGTTCGGGGAACAAGCAAGAACGAATGTTAGGAGTCATGAGCGCACAGGCAGTGAAAACTGCAAGTGACAGAAAAGCGTACACGATGTCACTGAATTTTAGTCTGTATGCCCCCTGGTCAGTGGGCTGGAGGCCAGTGGGCAACTGAGGAGTCCACAATCCGAAGAAGGTTACCACCCCGAGGTACACTTTCCCATCGGAGGCCACAAAGCTGTCAGTGAAGCACGAGAAGAAACAGAAAGCTGCGAAGAAGATGGTGGCCGCCACCGAAAGCCAGAGCTCGGAGGGCTGGTCGCAAGTTCCATTGTCGGTGATGATTGGAGCAATCGTGGTGAAGGCTAGGAACGTTCCCGTGGGCAGCAGATTGGCGAGATTCGATATCCCATTCGTGACGTTGTTCAGGAACGCTGACCAAGGTGTCAATGGTGTGTCCGAACTCGTGGCAGGCTCGGCAGCTAGATCTCGCTCGAGCAGAGGCTCGACTTCTCCTCGTGTACCGACTGCTGATGAAGACATCAGAGGAGCGCTGAGTGTTCCTGAGGTGGCCATTTTGTGAAATCTCTATATGTTTTTTGTGTGGTGTGGTATCTCAGTCAGTTGCTAGAAAGACCAATGAATGACCTGCAGCTGCCTGATGATACTGGATTCGAGGTCTCCATTTATGGGCTCTCTCGTCGTCGATTATCCCACTGTTTCCGATATTGCCTCCCTCTGAAAAACTTGGAGTGTTTCCTCAGCTCGGGTCAATCAGTCCGACGGCAGTATGCCAGCACGTCTGGCCCACTGTTCTCCCCTCGAGACTCCACGACAACTCTACCATCTGTTCGAACCGTGCGCCGCAATTCCGAGTGCGGTGATTATAATTCCCAATTCCAGGTGGGGAAGTAGATCTTACTCGCATGTGCCACTCGTGATGTCAAGACTACAGTGCAGTCGACACGAGAGTGTTCACCCCTTGCCCCATCTCGAGAGCATCTTTGGGTGTCTCCTCCCACTATTCAGCAGTGTAGGAATTACGATTGTCGGTATTGACTGTACCTGTACATGAGCAGGTGGATTCTGGACTCTGAGAGCAAACGCACAGCTCGTGAGATCGACCTTGAATCATAGCTGTAACCAGCATCATCTGCCTGGAGCAGGCAGCGATGGCAAACCTCGCACTGAATTCCCGTTGGGGCACGGAGACTAATCCGTGTTTCTCCCGTGCTAATCCCCATGCTTGGGACATTGTATTCATCTGTATAAACTGGAAAATGCTGAGCGATGCGTTCTTCGGGACGAATTTGTGGAGGTGAGTTCATAGAATTTTGAGTCCTTTCTAATATAAGTGTTGGCTTCATGAACTGCTTCACGCAGAAGCTTAGGATCTTCCATACCTTCACCCCTTGTAAACATGTCCTACGGCAACCATCAGATGCTTGGGGGAGTTTTTGGAGTCGGACTTGGAACATAGCAGCGCTGCTCTGTACCTGCAATCGATGCCTGCTTGAGAAATGTTTGACTATTAATGAGCGTGGGGCAGGTACTTTGCCAGTTACTAGCTAGTGTTCTCAGCTGCCAGTGTGTTGGAACTTTGTTTCGAAGTAACTGGTCATTTACTCGAGTTCTAAGAATCCATCAGGTGCTTCATGTATATGCTTTAACTTTTCCATATGGGAAATTATCTTTTTGATATTTTTTCAGCTTCCACTTCTGATCTGAATACGCTCCAAATCCCCCGTTTCTAGGCTTTTTGATGCTGCTGATTACACGTTGTCCCAGTAAATGCATGCTTATTTTATGCACGCTTGATATGATCTGGACTTTTTCAGACTGTCACAATCATTTGGACTTCTCTGGAGAGAGAATTACAATGTTTCCACTGTGAGCAAGAATAGGAGATTTTAATCTCGATCCATCGTTCTCTTTTTTTTCTTTGCAAATCAAATTTTCTCATCTAAATGATTGGGATGAGATTCTTCTTCTTTGGAATATCTCCTCAGTTTCAGTAGATTCTTTCCATTTCAAATCTCAGAAAACAATCGGAAATTCTGTCTTCATACAAGGGAGTCCTTGAAAGTTCATAAAGAAGGTCCTTGAAAGAAAGAAAGTCCTGCAGGCAGAAAGAAGGGACACATAAGCTCAAGTATGAAGGTTCTCCAGAACCTCGTGATCTCTCCAACATAGATGTCATGCCCCAGCAATGACTTCAACGTAGTGATAGCCCTAACAATTACCAAAGCGGAGCAGAAGCCATTCTGAAACACACGCTGGATCGAAGAAACTAGACACGCTGGATCTCAGACACGCTGGATTGCGCTGACATATGCATTCCTGCAGATTTAATAACCCACTAATATACACAAGTCTGAAAATTGGAAGTCTCCAGTAAAATGACAGTCAGAAGGCATTAGCCTTCTGACTACAATTTTTTTACCAGTAGCGTATATCAGTTGTCGGCCACAGAGTGCAAGGTAGAAAACAAAAATCTGGCAAGCGAAAGTGCAGGTGGATTGCGCGTCGAACAAGATCTTGGAGTTTCATCTCTGAATTATTCTCCCTGATTCCGCACAACCAAGTCGAGCATATCACTCTTTTCCTCGAAGACGTCAATGTTCTGATAGGATACGCTGAATCTGGAGTTATTTATCTCTCTTCTGTGTATGTTAAGAATTGCCAGCATCGGAATGCTTCGGCGTTGACGACGGAGATCACTAGGAATTTGTACAACCAGATGACTCGTCTAATTAAAAAAATGTTGATAATGCTACACCGACGGGCGTAATCGAGGGAATTTCAGACTTCATCAGGCTCAGAGCTGGATCTTTCTCTTGGACCCGGCACCTTGGTGGATCTTGGGATGAAGGCTACTCGACCACTGCATATTCTGTTGATTGGAATAACAGAAACCAAACCGGCGCTTTTGTCAGCAGGTTGAACCAGGAAAGCGACAAAGCTAGTTGAGACATGAAACTCGTCTTGGATCTCACTGGAAAACCTGTTGATAAAATTGTGGCCATAGTTTCAGCAATGCCTTTTATCGTGAACGCTTGTGCTCAAAATTTACTTTTTCATCCGAAAAGATGGATTAGAAAAAGTGCAAGGCTCTTGGTACTTGTGCTGCATGGGCACGCTTTCCAGCTTCCTGCACGTACTTATGGCTGAGAACGGAGCTGAGATACCAAACCTTTATTCTTAGTAGGGAAACCATTGAGTCTGACGAATAGTGAGTGCTGCCACTCAGCTGAACTATCATGTAAGGCAGTTTTGTAAAAAAAAATTGCCCAATGCAGTACTCTGACAAAATTCCTGGCCTAATCACTTTCATATACTGCACGAAGTAAACCTTTCAACGAAATATCCTGTCATCACGGATATCCTTGCTTCAGGATAGGAAACCATTCGGAACAGAGACAAACAGTAACTTATGCCTATGTCACTTATGAAAGCGGTTTTATTGCTGGAGCAGGACAAGTCCGTCTGTAGTTTTGTGCGAACAATTAAAATAGCTGAGACAAATGCTGAAAATATGGACTTATCGGAAAATTAGTCTGAAGTGAGAGACGGAAGTCCTACACGTTTTCTAGTGAAAGTGAAAGGCCATGAATTTTCGTTCCACACTGAAATGTTCTGCCTTGTTACTTTCGACGCTTTCTTCACAGAGAGATGCGAGAGACCTCCAGTTTTGAATCGGCATGAGTCAAATAAGTCATGATGAATGCGGGTAGCATAGATTTTAATTTTATGTACGATCTATTGTTTGATTGAAATTCGTGGCAGGCAGTAAGGCAACCGTACCAGCTTCATTTGAACATGTAGTCAGAAACAACTACGCTAGGAAACAAATGCAACTGCTGCATAGTGAAGTGATCTGAGATTTTCTCTCAGTTTTATTGTACGAGGAACGACAACATGAAGGTGACGATATGGACAGAATCTGCACAAGGGCAATGGGATTACTACGACATATGTTTCTGACTGTCCAGATCAACATTCGACCAAGTTGATCAATCTTATGGAATAGATTTAAAGCTCTGCGTCTACTCTATCTTGGACTCTGAGCCGGGTAAGCGGAACTCGGTTAGAAACTTTCGCGATTCAAGCGTCGTTACAAAACTTTCTGCACCGGAGTCTTGGGTTAGAGCTTAGTTTGCCTGGCTAGCGCTGCTCTTGGCCGGCGAGACGGGAAATCCGATACCATGCCTTGTCGACGGAAATGTTGCGAAGACCACACTAACAAGTATAGAAACAAAAGCTGGCAGGTTCCGCACCACATCATCGCTGAGATCCTGAAACAAGCAGGACCGGATGTTGGGAGTCAAGAGTGCGCACGTGGCGAAGACCACGAGGGAGAGCAGTGCGTACACGAAGTCACTGAATCTGAGCTTGTACCGCTCCGAGTCCGTGGGCTGGAGGGCGATCGGCAGCTGAGGAGTCCACAATCCACCGAGACCGACCACCCCATAGTACACTTTGCCGTCCAACGCTTGGAAGCTGTCAGTGAAGCAGGAGAAGAAACAGAAGACCGCGAAGAAGATAGTGGTGGCCATGGTGAGCCATAACTCCGAAGGCTGGTCGCACTTTCCGTTGCCCGTAATAATTGGAGCTATGGTCGTGAAGGCCAGAAACGTCCCCGTGGGCAGCAGATTGGCCAGATTCGAAATTCCATCGGACACACCGTTCACAAACCCTCCTACGGTTCCGACTTTCACATTCGCAAGCTCAGACCGCTCTTCCGAGGGCTCCCGATCTCGTATCGTGATGGCCGATGACGGCACCAGAGGAGCTGTAAGTGCGGCGGAGGTGGTCATTTTGTGAATTCTCGTCGAGATCTCAAGGAATCTGGAAGTCGACTGTGAGGTCTACGAATGCCCTGCCCGATGATTCTGTGAACGATCTCACCGTTTATGGCACTCGAACTGGCGTCTGTGATCCTGGAGTAAGGTTGCAACAACAGCGAAGGGCTGGTCATGGTGAGGCGATGGCGGTGACGCTGTTGAGCACATACCACGTCGGGCCGGCTCTTGAAATTCCGCTGTACGCAGCGTTTCAGCCGGCGGCAACCGCAGGTTTCGTATTCTGCGGCCCAATTTCCATGTCCTCGGGTGGATTGAACAGATGGTCACGGCGGTCCTAGCGCATGCTGCGCTGCCCACGAGAATTCCGTTGACTTTGCCAGGGTCTTTCTCGTGCAGATCTCATTTTCACGATGGAAATGAACGACGGGTTTGACCGAGACAACTTTCGTCCTCTCCTCGGCTCTATCGTGAGTGCCTTGAATCTGAAAACCCGATTTGTGTCAGATGGAAAACGCACGTTATTCGCTCCCATGATGACCCCGCCGTTGCTGTCTGCACAGCATTTCGAGAAATCCATTCAAAACGGATTTCTTCTAAAATTAATTCATGTCGTGGGATAATAAGTTCCATATTTTATATAATTACTCAACAATAAATTCTAGTAAAAAAACTTAACTTAGACTAATATTTGAATTATAAATAATCAGAGTCAATAGATATTGATATATCCAAGGAAATATATCTACTATAAAATATTTACTTGCACAATTTTGCAGTCTGTATGCAGATTTAACTATGGATGTGATAGTGTATTGTAGCGATCAGTGAGTAAGGCTTAAATCCTCCGCAGATTAAGGAAACGTTGTCTTTGCCAGTCGGAGCCGTGGCAGTGTAACGTGACCTTCAAGTAAGAGCTGTGAGGTCTATTGAGCAAGTTTCTTATAGGTCACCATATCGGAGAACAGTACTTGAAGATCTAGTTCCTTGCTTGCTTCCTTCATGCTCTTACCGTGGAGGAGCATAGTGAGATGGTGAGAACCTTTGTCTCGTAGAAGTGAGATTTGCACGAGATTCTGTAAAGGCCAGTCTTGGTACAGGAGATTTCCTTGGCAAATGGATTGACACCGATTGCTTGAGAGAGAACTTCATGAATGTCAGGGGAGATGAAAATCCCTGTTTTTACCGGGGAGATTATCTTCTGCACACGAGGGGTCTCTTTCTTGGAGTTAGGGAATCAGATCCTTTCACCCAAATGTTAAGGCCATCACTCCATGAATAACTATATCGTTCATGTGAGATCTTCAGAGAAAGGAAGTAATAATCCAGCTTGAAGACATATCTGCACTACCAACAAGGAACTGCATAGAAGATCGAAAGAGCTGCTGGCATTGACAGTCCAAGTGATGATGGAGAATTCTAGGCCCAACTCTGTCAGAGCGAGTCAAATTGTCCTGGTCACCAGCGGGAGAGCCTATGAAATCTGCTCGGAGCCTCAACTTGCACCTCCCACGTCCCGTCACGCTCAAGCACATCTAAGATCCATCGATGAGATCAAGGAGTGACCAACTTAGATCCTTAAGGACAGCTGACACTACACAACGACCATTTTCAGTGGCGATAAGTGAACACAAGTATCGGTGAGAATGCTTCCGCTGTTAGTGGACTTAGAGGTGATTTCTAGGTAGAAAAATTTAATTTCATCAGACAAGAGCCACAAATCATCTTCAACCTAAATCCACAACTGAGTAATTATCAGTTACTCAGCCTCACCCATACATAGACACGAATTTCTCCTTCAAAATTTTGCTCCGGCTTTGAGACAATCAGCTAACGAGAAACGAAAATCGTGTATCTCTAACTATCTTGGTTCCTGATTAGCTACAATCTTTCGAAGGTAGAAGTGAGTAGTACTACCACATGGATTCATCACACCATTGGCCACTCATTGCAATGTATAAGTAAAAACTGAGCCTTAACAAATGACTAAACATGCAGATAATATTCCATTAAACTCTCCTTACCATCGGAAATTCTACTCTTCAATTTGACATCAAAGGTTATGCTTCCTCGTGTTTCTCTGAAACTGAAATGAATTCATTTTTCTTTCATAAGGAACTTTGCCAAAACTTTCTGCAACCAATCGCGAGCGAATACAGATTCAGCAAGAACTTACTTCACCTTGTTCTGTCATTTCTAACCGTACAAAAAACTAGCAGATATAAATCCATAATGAAAGAATGTTATTCAATTAAAAAGACTCTCGATAGGCCAGGGGAGTCAATTCCCAGCATTTTATGTTCAAATATTAATCATCTGACATATTTGAAAATCCTTTTTAAAAGAATGTCCATTGGGCTTAAGTTCTATCTGAAACATAACTCCTAAATCCTTTCACAGACGAACTTCTTCCTAGCTTCAGGCTCTAGATTTCAGACATATTAAACCGTGAAAGACCGTCGCTTTGAAATTGACAAATTCTTATACTCATATCAATTAATTTGCTACAATACGTTTACACTAAATTCACGACACATGATTCAACAAAGACATCTCGGACTGCACTTTTTAAAAAATGTTTAAATTTATAATTATGTGAAATTAGAATAATCATCTTTTCTTTGTAAGTTAATATATATTACACTCAATTTGGATTACAAAATCATTAATTTATTCATCCAAAAAATCATTCAAAAAAGAATATTGATTATTTAGAGACACTTGGCTAATGACAATGCATGATTTGAGACTATTTGCAATAGTAGTGAAATCGTTTATTCTTCATTATTTATTATGATACTACGTTCAGGTAAAAAGAACATTTCAGCCAAGGAGCAGACTTAGTATGTCATTTTAGGCTTCACTTTTCGTTTACATTTTCTTGTCGCTACTCTAATATAGAGAAAGTATCAATTTTCAAATGAGACAATCAACTTCTGCTGATCTTCATAACATAAAGCAGAAGAATGAACTAATTTAATTAGGAAAAAATCATAACACGCCGTGAAGACAGGAAAAAACGAACAAATATCATTAACTTTTCTTTTGGGCTTAGAACTTTCAACAAAGCATCAATAATATTATAAGTGCTTACTACACTACCTTAAACTATTTAGGCATATTACCATTAATTGAACTATCTCTAGTTGATCTTGCAAATTAAAGGAAGAAATTAATGATCATTCTACAAGCAAAATCTTCCTAGAAAGAAACAATTATGAGAATTTGATAGCACATCGTTCGCCTTGCATGACACGGTGTGCACTTGATTCTAATTTCTTTTTAACAACCATGTTTGTAAAGTGTACGATAAAGTACTATGAAACCTACAGATGTGCCATGTTTTTCCTACAAAAATACATCATCTACACGTATGCTACTTCTTAGTTTGTTACTAAATTTTCCTTAGATTAGCTAGCTGACCACTACTAAAACGGGAAGAAATCTACAAACCAGTGAAAGATCTTTTAACCTCTTATATATAATAACCATGAAAGATTTTCAACCACTGGTTTCAAGGAGAATGCCATGCTCCACCATTACAAAAATCATTGTATATTCAGTCATTATGATGAAAAACATAAGAAAGCTGTAGCCTAAGATTGGAAGTTTCTCACATAGAGGTATGGGGCTCCTCGTGTTAGAATATGTAAGCAACCAATCTTTTCTTAAGATTTGGAATCACTGGATACAAGAAATTTGTCATTCTCCACCAATAAAAGCTTGACTGCACATACTTTGATATTTTTGTTCACACATAGAGATAAGATCTTGGACCCGCAATACCGCACCCTAAACTTGTATGCACTTGCATCGACCTACTGATCGTAGGCACTCACATCCACATAACTCTGGAATGAGTACAAGAAAAAATAATTCCCAGCACTTCGTCTCAAAGAGAAAAGACTTGTACTTTCATATTTGACTGTAGGCCGGAAGTGAGATTGGAATCTCAATATCTAGTTCAAATTGTTAGAAAGCGAAAGCTCTGGTCGCGAGCCGCTAGAAAGCTCATGAGCATATCAAGAGCACAAACAAAAAAAGTTTTTTCCGTTATTTTGATCAAAATCATATTTCCATGGACTCCCGTTTTTACTCCCGTTTAGCTTTTCGTAGTTTATTCACCATTATAATACTTGCTACATACTCCCAACCCGAGACTCAGACACTTCTGATGCTCTCAGAGATAGATGGCAGTAGAGGTTATCAACAACTCTTTTTTTTTTAAATTCTGATTTAACATAGTATTGCAAGACAGGGAAGGGCAGCACACTGCAGTCCATTGTGGATAGTTCGGATACACCTGAGATTTACTTATACCCTATAGCATCCTGGAAATGCCTAGTCTGATCTCCGACGTGTTCCTACTGCAATCCACTCTGTCTCTGTGGCAAGAGAACGATCTAATCTGAGATTTTCTACACAGAGATCCCACTCAGCTGAACCACAGAGTCCACTATGTGACTCGCGCATTGGCAAGTACTCGTACTTGCAAATGCACCATATTAAAGCTGCTGTTCATATCGTGTGTGCGAAATCCACATCACTCTCCTGGAAGTTGGAGTTCAAACGGACTAGATGGTAAAGAGCCCCTGACAGTTTGTGGACCCTGCTGGAAAGACCAAAACTTTCAGTAAGCCATTATGCCCTTCAGAAAAACGCTTAAAACCCACTCGAAAGTCACATCACTGGCCACAAACTTAAGTAGACTCGTCAGTTGGGTTTTGAGACGATGGAGTCAAGACATTCAGAGCTAAGCTGAAAACCAAAGCATTCGAAACGAAAGCATGATATAATGTTCGCCTTCTCCATGGAGAAGTGCAAGGAAAATCAAACAAAATTCAAAGCCAGACAATTTCCAAACTCAGGTTTAAGCTCGTGAAACCTGTGGCTACTTTACCTGCCCTTACAGAAATTTTTTGACCATTGTCTGTAAGATTGTCTGCCGTCTGAAACGTGTGCTTAAGCCAACAATCACGCGACGCAGACATCACAAAACCGACGCAAGAACTTGTAATGTAGCACAAGTCCGCGCACTCGGCGGGGAGGGTATCTATACTGGAAATGAGGTCGTGACCGTAGCTATCCTTGTACGGATATACAACGCACTGCTCGCATGAGCCGGCTACAAGTGCACAATTGAAAGCCAAGCATTAGTGATCCAACTCGAGAGAGCAGACAAATTTCTTGCAGCGCAAGATGACGCGTTTCCCTACGACTGATTCAGTGAGCTTGGTATTCAATTCACCTATCCTCAGCTCAAGCAATCGACAGAAGAAGGAGAATTCACCTCGAGACGAATACGACTCAGAGAGGAGGAGGAGAGTAAAAAGCGTCACAGCCATGGACGCTCGAGCCATTGATCAAGACACCCAGATCAGTCTGCTGCGTGACGAATGGCAGTGAACTCTGAGGCCGCCGGCAGCACAAGCACCGACAGAATTGGCGCAGACAAAACCGTATGTCTAAATTACGAAATCGGAGTAGGCTCAGTCGACGTGAAAACAGAAAGTCTGAATATCGTCTCCCAAGTACATTCAAGACTGCCGTCGTACCAATTCACGTGTGGAAATTTGCACCATCACTACTGATGAGTGATCATCAGGTACTCTTCTTCTGCATCCTTCGACTTCAGCCCATCCAGCGACTGCCCCCATTCGAGTCCGGCATCGGCGGCGGGCAGGTCTTCTCAGCACCGGAATCGGGATGCGCATCGCGAATACTGGTCCTGAGAAGACCTGCCGCCCTGGATCGGGACTTGTGACCTTGAGAAAAGAAAAGAAGAAGAGCTGCAGAGTCTTCAGGCCGTCGGCCGCTCGCGTTCGCCCCGGATCCGCAAGCCTCTCGTTCAAAGTTCTATTCAGCAAAGAGTGCGGTCTGGCTCTTGGGAAATTCAATGCAGTCGAGCACGATCACAACGTCACAGACCACTCAAATTTATCGGGTCTCGTAAACCCAGCGGCATCTTGCAGGACAGATAATTCAGCGGAATATGGAAAGTTTTTGAGAAGTGGAGATCGTTCCCAAGAGCGGAAGATATCCAAAAGGCTGGAGAAGGTTGGGTCAGAACTGTGCATTTTTTTACTAATCTTATCTAATTTCTTGTTGCTCGGGGCCGGCCTTGACAGTTTTTGTGCTTCATCGAGCAGGAGCTTGACGCAGGACATATGCACTCCACCTCCTGACTTTGACATTTTTTTTCCATCATTCATGCTCTGACTTGACTACGGCGGCTCAATGACATCTCTCTTACCGCCGTAATTTGTGACCACTTAGACACGTTCCACTAGAAACAACCATGTGACTGTGTGAACTCATGTTCATGTTACCCGTAAGCATGGTCCACGCAAATTCCATGAGGTTATTACAGTCAGACTCAAGTGTAGAGTGGAATTCAACCAACAGTTCCACAGTTGGTTGAATTCATCGCGTCAAGAGATTGTATAAATTTTTCCACAATATTATTATTTTATGTTCATAATTGGAAAAAGGAAATGTTTTGACAACCAGATCTAGAAAGATTGTCGAACCTGCACTTTTACTGTATGCTTCAAACATTATTGACGAAACTCTTCAAAACTTTCTAATTCGTGAAGTTCAAATTTTTTTGAGGAAATTTACATACAAAAGAGAATTTCAAATCTAATCCAAGTTAGATTTGGATTGGGAACTCTCATTGGTGCGGAAAAAGTCCCTGCAACCAGAAGTTAGAAAGTACCCCGGGAGAAAGTAGCATGATTTGAAACTGAACACGTCACCTTATTTGGTTTCCACGGATTAAGGTCAGAGATGGACTTGTTCAAACGGTAATTATAGTTGTTTATTACTAAGCTTTCATAAATGCGTCTTAGACCTTCCGTAAAGTTACCTTCGTATCACACGTTTAAAAGCTTGAATCCATAATAAAATCAGTGAAACGTGTATGATATAATAGTGGATACATATTGAGCCAAAAGATACTCTGAGGAACATCCTCAAATGCAGAACGAACAATTCAAGAAGTTTTACGCGTACTTAGAGTATAATATAAGTGGCTAAAAAATTTTCCTGATAGGATTTCCTAATTCTCGACGTGATAATCACGGAAAAGATATATTTTGGATTTGATATTTAAAATATGTAGTTGTTTTAAATGTTTCATTCTCTTCTAATGTTACTAGCAGATGAAGAAGGCTAGGCCTACAAGTCAGAGGATTGTCTACGTTAAAACTTATTGAGATTCGGATAACATGAACTAAAGCTCCATTATGTCAGGGAACTGTTGAAACCTCACAGATTATTGGGGCTTGCCACATGTCGGCTCGATGCAGCGGAGGACACTGGAAAGCATAGAAGAGTAGAAAATCACCAGCCTTTGTCAACCAGTTCTTTAATTTTCCTCCTGGTCCAAATTATTCAGACTGCAGAGGTCAACTCAACTTAACGGAGGCAGTGAAGGTACAAGCTGCCATCAGCGCTGATCAAGGCTGATGGTAGGAAGAAGCTCAGCAGCATCGTTGTTTGGGTTTCTTTCTCGGATTGGTTTTTGTCGAAAGTAACGAAAGGAGTTTTGGAGCATGGGGTCCACTGGAAAGCAGAAAAAAGTCCATCCTTATGCGGAGGACTGGCCTAACAAGCCATTGAATCTGAAGCTATCAGTGTCCAAAATTTGTAAAATACGCCTGGATCCCCGTGACTCATGGCCTCCTGCGCCTTTCTTTTATAGTACGATACGGTATGACTTTTACGCCTCTGTAGCATCTGAGAGCATCTTTGATACAGGCGTATTTTGAACTGTTCACTGTACACAAACACATTTGAGGGTCTAGTTCTCAGTCAGCAAAAAAGTCGTAGAAAATAATTCGAGAAAATTGACAGGCTGGTATGTACCTGTTATTGAGCTACACGAAGTGACGGCTATCTTTAACGTGGTAGTACATTGAATGCCATACTATGCCAAATTTAAGATCTGAAAGAACTAGAAAGTAAGTGGCCATGAGGCAGGGCTCCTTCAAATAGGTCCATTGTACTACCAAAGGAGAAGTCTACGTCTCTACCATACATTTATTGCATGGATTGCTGACGCCAGTTGTACAGAGAGAACTAACGACCGAAAAGTCGCATTTATGCACTTTTGAATCGAGAGGGTTAATGACATCACGGAGCATCGTCTGGACTTTTGACAACGAATTTTGAAGCAACCGGACCTGGCCCTGCACCGCAATGTCCCTCTCTAATGCCTCAGAAGTGAGTCGTCGAATTGTGTGGCATGGCTGGACTTGAAGGGCTTTCCAGACGCTGGTGTTAACGCTGCAGGTCTCACGCTCGTGTTAACGCTTCTGGTCTTCTGTTCGTATACTACATCCAAACTCTCTGCTGTGAAACACGACGATTCACCGTGTCCCATGAATTCAGGCTCCCAGCCTGACATGCCAGAAAGAGTCTCGAGAATCTATGGGGATATATCGACGATCGACTGAATGGATCTTCATTGTGTCATGAGCTTCGTAGGCATCAGGTCTTCTTACTTCCACTCACCTCAACCAACTGACACAAGGGTATAGCGGGCGCAGGTGCATATGGAACGTGAAAAGTCCATGTGCTTCGTGCACTACCAATGCGTGAGAAATTTGAAAAGCTTCAAACTCTTGGCATTCATTCAGAATGAGCTGTGACAACATCAGTCTATCGTTTTTTATCAGTTTGTCCGAGCTAGAGAGGTACGACCCCGTTGTTTGCCTACATGACTTAGTTACCACACTATGTGAGAATCAGATGAAGAGAAACAAAAGCTAGCCCAGAGGTCCTCTTGTAACATATCTGAAATTCAGGCGTGTTGCCGGCATCGGTGGTCATGAGGATTAATGTCAAGTGCATATGTTATTGAGACGTGATGAAGTTGTTGACTATCTCTTATAGATTTTGTTATAATATAGATATCCGCTGATAGAATCAGAATCGTAGATGACGAGTGTATGCAGATACTAGCACCTTGGGCCTCGAATGGCTTCCGCAAGAAGACGAGCTCCATGCGTATTATCGGCCTGGTCAATCATCTCGCTGATCGTCGTGCACGCTGAGTCGAGCGACAGCCCAGCAGGAAGATTATCGGCTGATGAGGATGTCTTGCTGCAGTTCCGGAAGGAGCTGTACATCACGGCCAGCAATAGGAAACAACTGGATGAAAACTATGACATCACGCTGAGACCATGCGAAAGTTGGCGCGGCATACAATGTAGAAACTCGAGCGTGATTGCCATTTACAATACACAGAAGATGGTTCTGAGCGGTTCTGTGCCCGCTGTGCTTGGATCTCTGCCGAATCTCACTCGACTAAGCATTCCAGGCATGGGTTTCTCAGGCTCCATAACCGACGCCTTGTTCAACTCCAGCAATCTGGAGGTGATAGACTTGAGCAGTAACAATCTCACGGGCCCTATTCCAGCCTCCATTGGCAAGCTGCGAAAGTTAAATGTTCTGTACTTGGTGAACAATCAACTCAACGGGACTTTGAAGCCACTGTCTGGCCTTGCGGCCGCCGAGAACTTTGCTTCCCTCTATTTAGAGAACAATCAGCTCGAAGGGGATTTGAGCCCCCTCGAAAATCTCACGTCTCTGGTCGTGGTGAAGCTGAGCTTCAACCGATTAACAGGTGACGTGAGTTATCTCCAAAATCTGACCAAGTTGCAATCACTGCAGGTGCAAGGAAATCAGCTATCTGGGAATTTGTCCGCTCTTGCAAATCTGCAGACCGTCCAGGCGCCGAGCCAACCAACACAGTTGTTGAAGCTGGATCTGGCGTCCAACCAGCTGACGGGGGACGTCCCAAACTTTTTCTTCTCCGAGCAATCAAGGCTGTATGAGTTGTTGCTGGGGAATAACGATCTGACCGGTTCGCTGGATCCAGAAGGCTCGAGCACTGATTCTTCTGCTCTAGAAATTCTCGAGCTGCACAACAACCACCTCTCCGGGTCCTTGGGCGCAGGAGTGCTGAACTTTACTAGACTCAAGAGCCTCAAGGTGAGTAACAATTCCCTGACTGGGGAGTGTTTCAGTGGCTTCAAGAAGAGCACTATCATGACCGACATGGATTTGTCCCACAACATTCTGACTGGAAGGATTCCCGAGACTCTGTTCCGAATGCCCGCTGTAAAAGCTGATTTGTCCTACAACAATTTCAGCGGGCCCTTACCCGAGAATGCCGATGACTATGTGGATCAAGATAACATCAATCTCGCTGGCAATCCACTTTTGTGCACTACTACAGCTGAAGACTTCAACCTGAAATTATGTGGAGGAGTCTACTCACCCCAACCTATAAGGGCACCGCCAACTACACGGGCTCCCTCGCCAGGTACTATCTGACATCATCTCCATCGCTAGCGCAGTAAGTCATTCATTTCTGGTTTCTTCCATGAGCTTTTCTGGCCTCAAGGAAAACCTCTGTTAATGCTTGCAATCCCGTTTTTGTGAGAAAGATGGAATCCGCGGCTCAATAGGTCGCCCTCCATTTGGTAGGAACAATTGTGTGACCCAGAACGGATGCCTTTGGCAAAGTCCTTCGTGGTTGGATCACGTCGAGACTTCGGGTTGAATACAGGAGCAAAATCTTGTCGGGCGCCTTCACAGAGTGGGCTATCATCTCTCTCCGTGACCATTTTCCTCGGAGGGGAAAATCCATCTATTATTGAACGATGAATCTATCTATCTATCTATCTATTAGTGGAGTCTGTTATCGCAGAGCCGAGAAATTGTGGGGCTTGCTGACCCAGGCAGGGGGCCATCATTTTGATCAGGGAACTTTTGTTCTGGAAGGAGCAGGATCCGGGCCTCGATCTGTGAAGTGTTTTCGGCCATGAATACTGATGTAGTGCAGTTTTGCTCGATGCAGTGCTACTAATCGGCCTGGCGGGGGGAATTTCGAGCTTCTGCCTGCTAATGGTGTGTGTATGTCTCGGAGTTTGCCTGCGCTACAGAGGCAAGCGGCGATCATCAAGCGTCCAAGACAATCAGCATCCGAGCTTCCAGCTGGTCATGGCGGTTCAGGGAGGAGGGAACTCCATCCGCCACCGGACGATGAAGGAGCTCCGCGAGGCCACAAACAACTTCTCCGCCGCCAACATGATCGGGTCGGGAAGATTCGGAAGCGTGTACAGAGGAATTCTAGACGGCGAAGTGGTGGCCATCAAGAACAGTGAGAGGGTCCACACGCTCGAGGCCCAGAAGCAAGTGCTGAACGAGATCACGGTCCTCTCGCAGGTGCGCCATCGGCACCTCGTAGCTCTGCAAGGATGCTGCCTGACCACCAATGCCGCCATGCTGGTCATGGAGTACGTCCCGTTGGGGAGCCTGGCCAGCAATCTGCAGGCCCCCAAGAGGGAGAATCTCACATGGCCTGTTCGCTTCAAGATCTGCCTCCAGGTAGCGGAGGCGCTCAACTATCTGCACAATGCAGCCCAGCTTCCGATCTATCACCACGACGTGAAATGCGCCAACATTCTGCTCGACAACAATTTCGACGCCAAGGTCGCCGACTTCGGACTCTCCAAGCTCGTCCCCGAGCACGAAAACCATCTCCACATGCACCCGGACGTGCAGGGTGCGCAGCATCGCACGGCCAAGAGCGATGTCTACGGCTTCGGGGTAGTTCTGCTCGAGCTACTGATGGGCAGACCCGTCGAAGAGCTCGACTTCCGAGGAAATGGGCTGTCCCAATTGTCGGCTATAGTGAAGGACGAAGAGAGCTTCATGGCCCATCTCGATCCCTTGCTGCTCGAGGAGGCGGTGTACCAGGACGATCTGAGAGCCGGCGCTCTGGCGCTTGCGGACGTCGCCATCCAATGCCTCCAGACCTCGCCTGCCGATCGGCCTTCCATGAGGAAAATTGTGGCATTCCTGTCAAATCTTCACGGATTTAGCTCGAGCCGCAAAACCACGCCCAGCTCGAGCCGTTCTGGAGTTCCGAATACAGGCGATCCTGCACTCGCACTCACTGCCGAGTACTTGAAAGCTTTGGACAGGACAAGGAATGGATCTCAATCTGCGCACGACTCGCTGGCGTGGGGTCCCAAAATTCTGACGTCCGAACACTTGCGCGCTTTGGATAGACAGAAGACTCGACCTCGACCTTCTTACACGCCCAGCACCCTGTCCTCCCCAGGAACTGCTGCGTTGTCCGGCTCTCACTCTCGCTCCCGCGGGCTGGATTCCGATCAAAGCAGCCGGGAGAGTCTTGCAATTTCCCCTGTGCATGCAAATTCCAGTTCGCGCTCGTCGCCGAGATCCGAGTCCATTTGGATGCCTCATTCCGCAGCGCTAAGCAGCGCCAAGGCTGCCACAGCGCCTTCATCTGGCCACGGCGTTGTTTCGAGGTCTTCATCGCGGAAAGCTGCCTCACTATCCCAGGCGCTGGAGTCTGACTTTCGAGCTGTCGTCCCCTCGCCTGTGAGCACCATGGACAGTCAGGAACTCTCGTTGAAGTCGCACTCTGCTCCGGATTCCTCTTCCCCGGAGCATACTGGTGCGCATTTCTCTCCAGAGAGGCGCTCTGCGGGGTCGGCAGCATCCGTGCCAAGCGTGGGTCGTCAACCGTATGGATGGAGATGGCACACGAGTTCTCCAGCTCATAGTATTGCTCTATGGGGTGCTCATCACCCAGGGCTGGAGTTTGATGATCAAACTGAAGGTTCTGAGGATCTGTCTGTCAAGTCTTTCACTTCGGTTGTGGCTGGAACGGAAGTGATTAAGGGGCCTCAATCTGGACACAAATCCGACACAAGGCTACCAGTGGAGACTGCTAGGGTATCCGGGTCTAGTATTCAGACAATCAATTCTGAGAATCGAGCTGAAGTCCCCTCCGATGCCAGCGGAGTGGAGGAGTACTCAAGAGCCTCTTCGGAGCCAATGTCTCAGACTCGCCACCCATCGAAGCCATCTTCCGACTGCCATTCAAGAACATCCACAAGATCCTCTCCCACTCATGAGATAGAGGAGGTCGTTGCTGATGATTACCATGCCAAGGGTATGACGAAGCCTAAGCGTCTGACGTTCACAACCTCTCGCTCACGGAGCAAAAAATCCTCCATCCTTTATGAGACTCGTTATTAGACCAAGCGTATATCTTTTCCTGCAAAGTCATGGCGCTTCCTCTTCACAGTGTATAATATGATAATGTTTGATTACGTCTAAAGACAGACTTAGATTCGGACAAATATTTGTTTATGATGCTCTTTCAATTGAGCTTGAACGTTTGAGCCATTTTTCTAGGCAATGGTAATGACAGACACAACGGCATTCTTCACATGAGCTCGTTGCATATTTTGTCCGAGACTGAAAATTTAGGAATCACTCAGCGAACCTCAAAGTGGAGTTGAGTAGAAACGTAGAGCGGTTTCGTTACAGGGTTCATAATTCTGAGCTTACTGACCACTGAAGGGGATCAGACTCCAAAGAGACCATCTCTTGTGCCAAGACAAAGATCGGAGCAGACCCAACGTTGTCGAGCCTGATCATATGCGACCATCAACACGCGAAGTATTTATAACCTTGCTACAATCACCAGACATCCTGTAAACTTCGCCACTGAATTCGTAAGTCAGGCATTCAAAATACCAATTTTCACTTGAGCACTAAGACTTGAGAATCGAAAGACATTATTAGTCGAGCTTTCCATCCGAGCACCCAGCCATCAACGAGTTTCATGATCGAATTTTTTCTTACAGCACACTTTGTTGAAAACCGCAACCTTCTCCGTCACTGCGCATTTTGCCCTTACAAAGTTGAAGAAAGAGTGGGGGAGGTTGATGAATTTGTTTTATTCAGCTGCATGTCATTTCAGGATTCCCCAGTTAGAGCATCTTTCGCCTTGGAGCCTTCTGTTCTTACAGAATCGACAGCCCTTGCGTTTCCCTGCTTGTAAGAAAATAGGTCCAGTTTCCATTATTGATGAGCCCCGGTATACTCCAAGGAAATCGATAGAGCTAGATTGAAGATATAGAAAATGGCACTGTAAGATTGATGTTGGGAGTCAAAATCTTCGACCTCGATGTGCATCCGCTTTCACTCCCAACATCACAAGCTTGAACTGAACCTGCCGAGTCCGTCGATGCTATAGCGGGCAATGAAAGTAGTGATGGCTATGCTTGATAGTTCGGGTTTCTTCCCTCTCAGTACTTGGTATATAGTTACGTGTATCAAATGACTTTGACCTTCCAACAGATGGCTGAATCAAGCCAAAGGACTTATTTACTAGTTTAAAAGCTGGTTGTGTACAAAGAGTCCAGATAAATTTGATATATGAATAGGTAAGCATGCATCTTATTTGAACTCATCAGTCGAAAACAGATTTCTTTCATCTGAAAACCGTTTTTAAGATTGGGTAGCAAATTCCTTACAAATTTTCTTCTTCTGATAATATACTGGAAGTTCTAGTAGATTTATATTTCTTCCATTGACAAGCACAATTTATCATATAAAATTTGTGTTCAAAATGTCGCTAGTCAATTAATATTGATTTCTTGTTTAAGACAGCCTAAAAACTTTTCTAGTTTGGGTAGAGCTTTCATGAAATTCAAACTGAACTTGATGTAGCTCCGGCAGAAATAAGAGCTTCACATCTACTCTGTTCTTATTTCCGGGATAGATAGAGATTTTATGGAAAGTGAGACTGAATGTTTCTAACCTCGATAGTATGAGAGACTAGAGTAAATGAGGGGTAGAAAGGCTTTATTGCCTAAAAGAAAAAAGTGTGGCTGCTCGAATTTTGGATCAAAGCTAATGCACTTAGCTGACAAGTTCTAACGTGATTGTTTAAATGATTGTTTAAATGATGTAGAGAAAACCTCTGGCTCTCGTATTGAACATAGTACAAACATGGGTTTCACAAACCGTCTTACAGAATCTGAAAGTTGTCTACCTACTTCATGTCATTATTACTTGTGAATGACCATAATTTCGTGGCACATGAAATAGGACATGGTAAGTTTCGTAATTTCATAACTCACATACAAACAGATTATACAGAGAAACTAGGAACTTAAAGCTTTTAAAATCACATGAAACTAATTGATGCCAGTGTGTTGTTTTTTGGCAATTTTGATAAATTTTATGATCAAGATTTAAAAGTTTACTTAAGATCAAAGAAAGTTTTATGATACAAATCAGTGGTCGGAAGATCACTTGGGGTTCCATAGCAGCGAATCAGAACACTGCAAGCTTTAGTTCCTATATCCACAACTCTATGAAAACCTGAATTGTGAACCATTCAATTTAATTGGTTCACAGGACTGTTGAAATATTTCGCTTCCACTCATGACTGCCGACTGGCCGTCCAGAACCAGTCTTCTCAAGAATTTTCAAGTCTCTATATGACATTGAGAATGAACAGCCAGTTAAATACATCGAAGTCCACAAGGTCTTTCTAGGTTGCAGTCTTCTGAAGTAAGGAAAGACTCAACTCTTTAGTAAGGAATGAATCAAAATATGAGTGATATTGAAAAAGCTTATGCACTGAGTTTCATGAGGTTGTAATCTCCAAGTACATGGTGTCGAGTTTCAAATCGAACAAAAAGATTCAGATATTATGATGCGCGTTGACAGGTCTGTGTTTGCGTTTGCAGAGGTGACCATTCGAGTCATTCGACTGAAAAATAGAACATCAGATTTGGAACGATTATCTGTTCAGAATAACTTTCATTAACTTGCAACTTGTCGTTGTTGCAATCAAGTTCCCGGTAGCTCGATCTGGGAGTTTGTGACCCAGCAGAAGCATGTCATGGCAAAGTCTCGAGTAAATGCCTCGAGAAGCATGTCACAACAGATGTGTTGTGCAACGGCATGACATGACAACAACGGTTAAGAATGTGAGTTGCATCATTCGAATATGTGTTATTTATCCGTTGGCTTCGACTCGTATGCAGAACAAGGAGTGCATAAGAATGTATACTCTGGCTGAATCCAGACACGGACCTTGTCGGCCTACCGATTATGGACCCATGAGATACTCAACAGCCGAATGCATTTCAGATGACTTCTCTTTGGAAGTAGAGCCATTTAATTCCATGATGCATCATTTCAAAACATTTGAAATGTCATCTCTGTTATAACCACGACTAATAAATCCAGTGAACCGTATTCGAACAGTTAATCTCAAACTCGCCGTCGAACACAAAAAGATATCTGTTTACATCTGTTTAACAGGTACTTGCCTCAACGTATGTTTAACTGGTACTAAGCCGTTGGACTCGACCGTCGGCTTAGTACGAGCAGTTATGATTCTTTTTCAGAAGGACTTTTCAAATTCAATTTCTTTTACTGTTGAGACAAGGATATTTTGGTGTGAAGCCTCGGACTACAGTCTATAAAGAGGCAGTTCTCACCCCATTGTTCTCACTTGGCTGAGTATGCACGGCCCTTATCATCATGGCTGTCATTAGCACTAGCGTTAGTTGCTACTCTGGCTGCTGTGAGCCAAGGCGTCAAGATACTAACCATATATTTGGATGCGTCTTCAATGTTGTGCGAGATTCACGTGATCCCCAGAGGATACGATTGCGAGGAACATGAGGTCAGTTGTCTCAATCGCTACTCTGTCAGCCCTACTCATGAGTCTTCTAAATCAGAAAAGTGGCAAAAATAAATGCTTTTGTTTAGCATGGTTTAAGAAGCCACGGGGTCAGTCAGATTATGCAGCCAGAAGATATCTGAACTTGGATCGTTATGTGTAATTTTTCTAAAATGGCAGTTGTATTCGGACGATAGTTACATGCTTCGTCTGCATCGGCAGCAAGGACAAGTCTGTGTGGGAAGAGCTGTAATAACCCACTAAAGGCTAAAACTGCAATATAGTGGTAAAAAATCGAAACCACAGGGACAGAGGTAACACACAGAGTACAGAGTGTCACATTTAACATACTATTGAAGAGTTTGAATTCTCCGGCGACTGTCATTCCCAGAAATACTGCAAGTGCTCACTCGGAGATCGCTCGGAGGTCGCACAGTGCAACGTAGTTCACTCAACACACACACACACACACTTGAAACTATAGAAACACAACTCAGAGGTCGGTTAGGACCTTTATTTAAGATTTCAGGGGGAAAGTCTCTCGCGAATACACTCAGCGAATCTGCGGGTAGTGACTCCCAACTCCGGCTTTTACAACCCTTCCACTAGTTTCTGCTAGCACAGGGAACCTGGATTGGACTTCCTACTTCGGACTAAAGTCACTCACACGCGGTGAACAACACACTCAACTCACAAAACGCGCAGAGAACACAGGTCCAACTGAGAGACTCAACTGAGAAAAGATCCAATAGCACACCATAACAGTCTCTTGACGAGTTTGAATTCTCAGGCACTAGTCATTCCCAAAAATAATGCAGAGGTTTGCCCCGAGGGCGCCTTCTATAGCGTAACCTGAATTTACAACCAAGGCTTACACGAAGTAACAAAACTTCACTTTGGCATTAAGGGGAAACATACCGTAGGAGTACAATCAGGAACAAACACTCGAAAGTGTAAGGGGAAACTGTTCCAGTATCTAACTAGGTACTAGCTCTGAACATTGGCAATCATCCGCAGGTTGTGGTAACCCACTTTTGGTATTTATGCGGAATTTAAACATTTTTGGAAAACTGTACCGCATCAGCAGTGTAAATAGCGATCGGTACATTTAAATAGAGTGAAATTGGATGATCTCGTAGAATCTCGTAGAATCCAGGAGTTGGGCGCAATGTCCGGAACAGGCGCCGCCCTGAACGAGCGTCTCTGAAGGAGTTCCCCTTCGGCGCAAGGCGCATAATCCGCCTTCGGCGGTATGCCTTTGGTGCTAGAGGAATCCCTCAGAATCTATGCAATTCCCAAACGCCTTGACTTGATTAGGGTTTCGTTGGAAAGAGCTTGACGCGGTGGTTCTAACGAGCCCAAGAACGCCCGGAACGGATCAGGACTCAGGGAGTTGTGACGGTCGAAAGATACGAAGACTTTCGCCTATGCATAGGCGAGGGAAGTTCGCCTACGCATAGGCGAAATGGGTTTGACGTCGGCGGGGAGTCCGCCGAGAATGCCGCCTACGCATAGGCGTGAGGACTTGCACCTACGCATAGGCGGA